AGGTTGGACCATACATAAGAAAGATTTGAAATGCAAGATTACCGCCGATAACTGAGAACCAAACACCAAGTATACATGTGTCGGAGAAAATAGCTCTAAAATTTAGATTTTCTGTGAGAAAAGGTTTTATGAATGAAATCTGTAAAATACCTGTATGGGATTTTTTGCTTCTTTTCAAAGTGCTTTCCATAGGTAATCTTGGCAAGCTCTTTGGGTCCAACATTTCTTAAAAAGAGAGAGATTTAACCTACTTGTTACTATCTAAAATGTGTTTCCCATTTTATTGGTATTCCCATCTGCATTAGTACTTACCTGTGTTTATTCGGATCATCAGTGTAGAAGAAGAAAAATGAAAGGAAAATTAGTGCTGAGAGTAGACCCTAAAATTCAAAAATTTTACTTCAGTAACTCCTTAATCGTCTTTTGCTTTCGGCGTACCTGGAAGTAGTATACAGCGGGCCATCCCAATGAACTTTCACATAAAAATCCAGAAACTGGCATAGTAAGCATGTTACAGAACTAAAAAGCACATATTTCAAATCACTACTCGTAAATGAGCGAAATGCGTTTTTTTTTTCTTTTTGAAATAGGGCCCACCTGCACATGACATGATAAAATAGCAATAAATGTACCAGTAGCTTGCAATGTAGCCCATTGTGCAGGTGCCATACCCGTCATTGGGAATGAAAGCGATGTTGGAGCACCCTAAAAATCGATTATTGATATTTGAAAGTGATTTTATTATTTGATTTTTATTCACTTACTTGTAATACTCTCATAATGAACACGGCAGTGTATCCTGACCTAACTGCGAGTGGGAAAAATAAAGTTGACGCCGTTGTTATGAGGCCATTTACAGCTACGGTTGTCCTTAAATGAATGATTTTTTTTTCAAATGAAAATCTGTAATTTTTTGGGGGAAGAGTCAAGAGTAAGGTCTTATACAATGGCCGTTTAAAATTTGTTTGTGATTTGTGAGTTCATTTTCACAGGATTTTCCTTTCCAAAAAAATTTGAAGAAAAATACCATAAACTTCATGAATACTTCACATTTCGAGAAAAAAGGCAGACCTAGGATTTTGAAATGAAATATCATCAAAAACAAATGAAACCTTACCGTAATCCGAAATTCTGGATAAGTAAGGAATTTGGTATGGTTCCTAAAATACAGCCTATAGCAATGGCAGAGAACAGCGAATTCACTTGAGTGCTAGAGTCCAACCAGTGTTCTGAAACAGAAGAAATTAGCTTGAAGATAGCACAACTTTTCCCAAATCTTATCAGCGGTCTAGTGGTCTTAATCTTCCTGTTTTTACTTCGTTAAAACACCAGAGTCTCTTTGTAATTTGCTCTTTTCTTCTATCCGCCTTAACCATTTGCTTATGAGAAGTTATTATCAAACTAGTACTAGTACGTCAT